CTCCCCGGGCCGGGGCTGCCCGCTGCGGGCTGGTGCTCCGGGGAGATGGGCCCGGGGGTAGGGGCCAGCCGGGCTCAGTGTACGCGCCTGTGAAATGGGTTTAAGAGCGGTGGTGGGGGCAGGGGGTGCGCACTGGGCCTGGTTCTCTGCTGGTGCAGGGCAGAGGCTGCTTGCAGTGATGCCCCCTTGGGGCATGTGCGAGAGGAGTCCTTCCAGGCCGGGGTGGCAGCAGGTCTGTGCTTGTGCCTGGTGTCCCCTGGGTGCCCCTAGGAGCCGGGCTGTGGCCAGTGCTGTGTTGAGGGTGGCCTTGCTCTCTCTCATCCTGCTTACTGGCACCAGTTGCTTGGGATGCTCTAGCGCTCCTGTCTGCTGGGCCCGCAAACACCTGCCGGGCAGGGGGACCCAAGCCTGCTCCGAGCAGGCGGATGGTACCGGTCTGGTTCTGTGCCCTGGCGTTGGAGCAGCCTGGAAAGGAGCCTCCCATTTAGCATGCAGGTCGCTCTTGCCGAGTTGTGCCCTTGAATTGCGTTGGGCAGAAGTCTGCCACCAGAGTTGCGATGCCCTATTTTCCATGTAGGCCTAGAATACCTCGAGTAGTTCTTACAAAGCTTATAACACGATGCTTTGGGAGGCTGACCTGTCTGTCTCTGCCGTGGCTGATTTTGGTGTTCTGTGGAAGAGTTGATGGGCTCTAGAGAGCAGCAAGGGAAAGACCTTGTTTTGCTGGCTACTCACTTGGCAAACTAGACCCTGTTCTGTTTCTAAGCGTCTCAGGAGAAGGTGCAGAGTCCTGCAGACTGCTTACGGTCCCTGCTGCAAACCTGGTAGGATGGGTGGGAAAGGCACTCTCGCTTTCACGTTGTGGAACTTGTGTTTCCTCTTAAAAACCCAAAGAAACTTCATGCGACAGAAGTGAGACAACAGAAGCTCTAGATATAACTCTCTCTGCTCCCTTTCATGAAGGCCTTATGGTTGCTGTTAACTACATGATTGCCCAACGTTTTGCACAGAGCTATATTTGTGTTAGTGCTATCAGCTCCTGTACTGGATCCCTGGGGTCCGTCCTGTCCAATATTCCTGTGTCAGCAGTGGCTTCTGCTGGAGAATGCAGCAGGAACTTGGCCATCCTTAAAAAAGGCTGGGGTTCAGGCAGGTGGGTGACACAAAGGGCAGGTAACTTCCCAGCCCTAAGCACATTGTCCCATTATGGTCTCTAATAGCTAGATTGGTTTAAGCATGAAGTTTTAATATCCCTTAACAAAATCATAACTTTAGACTAGACATTCTTGATTATTTGGAGGTTGAAGGTGTCTTGTTGGCCTCAGTGACTTGTCATGGTAGTGAGTTCTAGACTTGCTTTACAAATGTGGAAAAATGTCTCTCATTTTTTTTTATTTTCCACTTCTGATTTTATTGACTGGCATCTCTTTCTGATATGAAAGGGGGAATAGAATTTCTTGGTTTGTTTTCTTTGCCTTTCACCCCTTTCATTATACCTGCTACTCCTTCATACCAAATAGCTTTCTAAAGCTCAGTCTTTGGAGTACTAGTTCTTAGTCTATATAACAACATGGAATATGTTTCCAAACTAGCTTTGTAGCTATCTGTATATCCTACATTCCAGGAAGAGTAGATGAAGAGATGCATCTTACAGTTGGCAACATACTAATCGTTTTCCTCACTTAGGAGGGGTTTTGCCTGACCCTTTAAGTGAATTCCCAGTAACTTTATGACAATAGTGTGAGTTCACGTACAAAACAAACAAAAACAAAAAACCCCCAGTATGGTATAGATAGTAGAAAAAAACATACTGTACTTTAGCAACAGCCCTGATCACCTGGAGACCAGGTTAAAGTGGATGTTTAGAAAAGAGTAGTTATTTACCTTGAATACACTCAAAATTGCTTTGTTTTAATTTACCTCTTTGATTTATCATCTCTCAGAAGATAAATTTAGTACTGTTTGATTTTGCTTTTGATTTTATGCACTATACTTAGTGTACTATGTATGCTACAGTTCTGCACTTCACAATCTTCATGTATACTCTGCAGTTGTGATTTTTCTCTCCTCTTTCTCTCTCCTAAAAGCCTGTATCTTCTTGGGAAACTATGTTGTTGGAGTTTGCGGTAAACAATGGGAAACTATGTTGTTGGAGGTGTTTTTTGAGGTAAAATAATCTGATGCATGTTCCACATGGCAAACCGTCTCTTCTTAATGGTTAATATAAACTTCTTTGTACAAGACTGACAAGGTTCTTTGGGCAAGTCCAATATCTTCTATTCTTTTACCCAAAGAACCTTGCCAGTCTTGTACAAAAGAGCTTGCATGTCCTTAGACCAACACGGCTACAGCCTATACCTTTGTACAAGATTTACATTTTGCCAGTCTGGAAATATAGTTAATATCCCTGTTTGTTAATTTGACCTAACACTCTTTTGGAACTGCCATTGGATAATGAAACGTGTTTGCCAATGTGTTATTGCTTAACCTAGAAGTCAATACCTTTGGGAGTGGGGAGCTGTTTTAATGGAGCTCTAGCCCAGGCTGTTTTCATGCTGCTGTAGACATTGTTTCTCCATACTTACATGGGCAGAGCCCCTGTCTTTGCAGGCTGAATCCAGCCAGGGAGCCATAGGTTGCTGACCTCCAAATTAACTCAAATATGTAAAAAATGTATGTGATGTCGAATTGGCTGGGCAGGAGCTGAGGCTTGTAAATTCATCATGACTAGCTCTTTTAGCTGCTCTGCAGAGTGGTTTCCATCTTCTGCTGTTCACAGCCAAAGATGATGGAGCTTGCTTTGCAATAGGGAAAATCTAGCTTTCAAACCCCAAGTCTGCAACCTTAAGGTGTAAGAAGAAGCCTGTTCCTTCTCAAGTTTTATCAACCATGTAAATGCCTGCTGTTAAATAAAGCTAGGACTTAAGCAACATGAATGATCTCAAAACACAAGCAATGGAAAAAAACTCCATCTTTCTGTGTTTCACTTCTATTTATTTATTTTTTTTCATGTGATCTACATTTATTAAGTTCCATAGCCAGGTTTCCACAGATGCTAACAAAAAGCATGCTTGCCTTGTAATCTGTCACATCTATCTGGAAGTTCCATCATTTACTTCTAAAAAAGGACTATAGTGTTTCAAACAGACTCCTTGGGTGCATCCCCACAAGCACGCATGTGTGTTTTCCCCGGGGGACAAATAGCAGTGCCACATATCTGCCATGTGCCAGTGTGCGCTGCTTGCTGTGCGTGGGATGGGGAGGCTGGGGCCAGCAACCTAACCTGGGGTCTGGGGAGCCTCCTGGGGCTGTAACAAAGTGATCCAGGTGCATGGAGGCTGGTTGGCAGCTGGAGCCTGGCCAGTCAGAGCCATTTTCAGGCGGTGCAGGCTGCAGCCATGTGTGCTGCCCTGCTTTTTTTTTTTTTTTAAGATACTGGGATTTTTCAGGTACCTAATTTTGGCTCCACGCCGCAAATATATCTAATGCGGAGAACCTCTTGACCTGCACCACGAACGTTTTGTGGTGCCTCCAAAAGCCTTTGAGACACCGCAGAATGCTCTTTCTACTTGTCTGGATGCACCACCTATGTTTAGTGTGAATTTCAACTTGTGCATCACTGTAATGTAGTTAAGGTTTATTTGTGTTTGTAACCTTCCAAGACACCCAGAGAGAGTCTTTGGAAACCTGAGGCAGAAGTCCTTCAGTTAATCAGGAGCTGGATGCTTGCTGAGGCTTAAAAATCTATCTCCATTGATCATTGCAATAGTGCAGGGATGTCTTTTTTTTCCCCCTCAGTGACCTTTCAGGTGGTATGGGCTGAATACATTAATACAGAAGCTCAGAGTGGTTGCATTAGGTTTCAGACCTTTTTCTGTTCATTTATTGGCTGTTGCCTAAACAAAGCAATAACCTCATTGTTATGCTCTTTGCAGTCTTGAATGCAGAAAACCTGCAACACTCACATGAATGTTCTGCAATTCTATCTTCAGATGCTAAATCAAAAGAGGAAGTTGGGAAGCACGTTCCCTAGTGTCACTACTGCTGTTCAGTTAACTGTACTGCATCCAGGTCATCTTTGGATGTGGGAATTGTGGATTTATTTTTCCTTTCTTTATTTTTACCTGTTTTCATTCTGTGACGCATCGAGCAATGGATTTACAAGTTCAGATCTGTCTAGAAATGTATCTGGTTTCAAGTACTGTTACCAGGTCTTCAAATGGCTTATCTTGCAACGTACTGGCTGATTGTCACACAAACCATCTTTTGTGCTGGTTCCTTTTTTTTCTTTAAGTCCTTGTCAGTTTCTTTTTCTTCAGGGTCTGATTACTGCCCCCCACCACTTGAGGTGTCAAAGATGGAGTTCAGCTGTATTAAATAAGCTAATGGTCAGGAGCCTTTGTTGCTGTAGCACTGGAACAGTGACTTGTCGCAGAAGCTTTATTTTGATGAATATGATGACAATGGAAACTGTTTGTCTGGATCATCAAATTCTTACGTTTTCCTCTTCAAGCT